GGAACGGCGAGACTGAAGATACTTTTGATTTGCGCATTTTATTTTTTTTTTATACAGAACCATATAAATCGGAAAATTAGAATTGACAATAAAAATTAAAATGAAATCTCTTTTTAACAATGTACTTACATACTTTTGTTATATCCTTTTTATACATATTTCATATTTCATAATATAAAAACATCCATTTCTTTGAAGAATATTATAATTATGAACATTTCTTTATATAGAATCATGTCAATATTATTACAATTTTAATATATAATTGTGAGATTAAGTTTTGAAGAAATAATTTCTTATAAATATTTTAAATATATCTATGAAAAACTACTTAAGCTCTCAAAAAATGTTTTGTACAAAAGTTTTATGATAAAATTATTTATATTCAACCAAATTAATAACTTAAAAAAAAATTATTTAAAAACTTTTGAAAATAATTATTTTTTAAAGATATTATTGATGTGGGTGAATATAGATAATTTTATGAAACTTTTGTATAAAACATTTGTTGATATCTTGAATAGTTGTTAAACTATAACGAAAAAAGATAAAATCCGCGTTATGTAACGTGTCAGCTATAAGGAGTGATTTCACCTTTTAAAATCGTTTTTCCGCTGCAACTTATATTTTTTTTTAACTCCATCTTTTTATGTAATCTATATGTATATGTATATGTGCAAAGTTTCATTAAAATTAGAACTTAACACAAACGAGGTTCCCTTGACAATGGCAGAGTGGCAGCCTCGCAAGGACTTGGAGATAAGGCCTTAGTTCGAATCCCGGCAGGAGCGAGCTGATTTTTTCGTGCTATCGGTTACGCTTTACTCGAATTTCACATTTCAAAACGTGCAATGTAAGTGCGTCTTAAACGAGTATTTTACAATCATAGCTAAAGATATGTTTTTACATCTCAAATATACAGCACGTATTTACCACTTAAAAATACTCATAATATAGACATTATTGCCACTGAAAAAAAAAGTTGACAACTATTTTTTTTTGCATCATTGACAATTGTAGTATCTGTAACTATTTTATAGAGTAGTAGCTATTCTAATCTATAGTACTCAATACTGTAAAAATATAGTTACGACAACAATATTTGTATATTATTAATTGATAGTGAAATAGTATCTCAACTACATTAAATAGTCTTAGATCTCTTTTATAAAACATAAAAATTATATTTTTCTAGTTAGACAGACACTTTTTTTAAATAAAGCCATTAAATAGTAATTAATTAACTGTAATCACTGTAAGGTAATTTAAAAAAATACATTCAAAATCTTTTTATTAAGGCTACGGTTCATTTGATACTACGAATGTTTCGAAGCATTTTTTGATTATTCAGTTAGTAAAATTCTTTTTTTCCGATTGATCAATCAAAAGTTTCCAAAGCATTTGTAGCGTCAAGTGGATCGCACCTTATGTTGCTCAGTCACGAGCAGTACGCGGCATTGTTACCAGAGGGACGTAGCGGAGTTCAATTTCTCTTAAGAAAACTATTCGGCATACAATAAAAGGCGCAGCATTGGATTTGAATTTCGAAGACAAAAAAGTAAATGAGAGATGCGCCCCGACAGTACGGTTTTTAGTTTTGCAAAAATTTAGTCTTAAATTTAATCTTAAAATTCCTAGAAGTCTTATCTATATAAAAATCCTAGAAGTTATATATATAAAAATTTGTAACTATGTATTATAGAGAGAGATCCGATAATGCACATCGCTAATTGGCCAATTTAAAATAAAATATTCTCATTGATAAAGCAGTGAAAAATTACTGGATATCGGTCGATGTGTGCTAACGGGACCCTCACGTATTATAAATGTAACTATGTATTGTAAAAACCTATGAATAATAATAACTGACTAATATTTTCGCATAAACAACCAGCGTTGACTTAATGCTCCTTTTTATTCCTAGATTGATTTAATCACAAAGCTTTTTTGTTAAATATATCGTATATTATAAAGTTTTAATTAGAGAACAATGAACAAATTAAATGAATTAAAAAAATATAGTAATATTAATCATTTGTAGTTGGTTAATATTACTACATGATTAATATTATTATATTTTCTTAGTGTATAACTTATTTATTGTTCTTATTAGAACTCTAATATACAGGGTATTCCACAATTTTTGGCAAAGCGCTTTTGTGTAGATAGAGCGGAGTAAACTGAGTCAAAAAGTCCTCTACAATTTTGCAATGGTTAATGAGATATTAATTTATGAAAATAGCCGAATTCGCTCGGCTTACCGTCAAATGCAAGCGGGCGACGAGATAAGACTGTCCAATGAGGTATGCGTTTACTGTTGCTAGGCATGTTAATGTCGCTTGTAAACAATGTGCATAGAACGTATATCTCTCCGGGCGGTCTTATTTCACGTTTGCACTTGTCTGTAGACCGGGCGAATTCGGTTATTTTCATAAATATCTCGTTAACCATTGCGAAAATTGCAAAATGATAGAGGACTTTTCGACTTAATTTAATCCGTTCTATCTACACAAGAGCGCTTTGCCAAAAATGTGGGACACTCTGTATAATTGAAGCGCTATTTATCTACATAGTTACTGATACTATTTTTTTCTCTGAATGCACTCGGATATATTCGGATATACTCCGATGTGCTATCCGTTTTAATCATTTTTTACGGAAAAGTTTCTGTTTGCGACCTAAAAACAGAGTCATTCTCATGTGAAGTCATTCTCGAGTGGAATGCACATTTTCATCATTAAACTGTATGCGCGAACTAAAAACGGTGAAAAATTTTTATAAAAAAGTAACTAGTTTCAATTATAGTTTTTTTGTTTTAAAAAGTAATTCGATATCATTACACGTTATTGACTAAAAAATAACGAGTAACAGTTACAACTTTCTTACTACTTTCCAACTAGAAAACATTACGTTACATTGTGTTAGATTATGTAAAGTACTTGTTGGAATCAATGAATTGTATCTATACTGAAATGATCACTTCCATTTACCGCTTTTAGGAGAATAACGAACTTGCGACAGGATTTTGAGGGTATTGGTGTCTCGCTGCATCTATACGTATGCGCACATCTCCAAGAATACAGACAGGTCTAAAAGTTTTTATGTCAGTTGACCAGAGTATACGACCAGAGTATAGGACATACGCGCTTCTACAGTTAAAACAGTACAGTTAAAAGTTTCGAATTTGACTGTACGAGAAGGATACCGATACCCAAAATTTGTGCTCTCTCTTGGCTCGCGCCAAACTCAGTGATTATTCCAATATAGATATAATTCAGTGGTTGGAACACAATTTGATTTTCTAGTGTAACAGATAGCATTACATCTTTTATTCTTATTTTTATGAGTACTTAATATTTTTATATAATAGACTTATGATTTTAATTTAGAATTAAATTATAAATCTTTTGAGATTGATAATTTTTTTATGATTTTATTACAAAATAAGCTTGGCTACCAAATAATTATTGAAAAGTTGGTAACACCGATATATTTTACATGCTCGTATTTAGCTTTTTACAGTACTTTTCAGTAACGGAATATAGTCATACATTGTGTGATACAGTGTTATACAATGTCGACTTGTAGCTGAAACGCTATTTACCTTTCCAGTTTTATCGCTTAAGTGTAGGGCAGTTACTTTACAAAACTTGTTATTAAGATTTCCGGTACATATGCACGGTGAATTGTGATGAATTTGGTCAACGGTTAGTAATAATTTAATTAAGAAGAGTTAAAATGCATCAAAGAATTTATCAAGTTTGCGAATGTTAATTTTAGCAAATTTCTATATTTAATGTTTATTTGATTTATCTATGGTATAATATGTATTTACAATTTTATCTTATTAACAATAATTTAATTTTATTAAGCAATTAAATAATTTTATATAGCTGAATACGCAAGAAAAGATAACGATTAATCTCTTAACGGAGAATATAATAAATACCAGTAAAAGTATAATCATTAATTATAAAAATTATGTTATTTTTAATTGCATAATGAAATATAATATTTCTATTGTAAATTTGTTTATTTATAGTATATAAAACATATTATAACGTGATATAACCATGTGATACAAGAATGATCAATACGTTATTAAATTAATTAATTATTGTCGTACACGATACACTTATCTTGCAATAAATAATAAAATAATAAAGTATTTACTAAATATCTTTCATAATACAAAACACAATGATCATGATTATTTAAAAGAGTGTATTTTTGTCACCTTGTTTATCTCATAATAAGATAGATCTATGATCACTCAGTCAGGGCGGATATGTGTTTATTTCGGTCCGGATATTGTTGAATATTTTTAGAAATGTGATATTTTAAATGTACATTGTATGTGGCTCAATGAATCAAGTTGGGATAATGATAAATTTTCAGGATCACGTAAACTACAAATTACCAAAGTTTTAGCCATCCGAGACCCATTTTTTATAAGGAACGTGTGGAGTCCTTTACTGTAGTAATTCAATTTAGTTAATGTAAAACATGTTATATAACAATGTTATGTAATAATTTGATCGAAATCCATTTTCCATAAGATTTGTGCGAGATTCTTTAAGGCTATTCTTTTAAAAACTTTAATTAGACATCATTGTTTATACTTTCTTTATTAAAATCTTTCTTTTTTAAAATTAAATATATTGATAATTAAATAATGTATTAAAATCTTTATTCCAGCAAAGTTTATTTATGACATTTATGACATATATCTACATGAATAATAATTTGTTAATTTAAAAGATGTAAAATATTCGTACGAGCGTGCGCGCGCGCGCGCGCGCGCGCGTGAAAAATGTTAATAAATCTGTTCGACTTGCTTTTTGCACTCTTTTTCTCTCTTTTCAGCGCCAAATATATATATATCTCATTTTAAGTGTAAAAAGTGTAAAAAAGTGTAAGCAAATCGAACAGATCAAATTTAAAAAATATTTTTTTAATGTTACTTGTATGTAAATATTAAATAATCCTTTTTTTTCTAGGTGGAAGTATGGTATCACGCTGCCCGATTGTTAGTTCTTACAATTAGTTTACTTCGATTGTTCATATACACCGCGCGAAAAATTCTTGTTAATGAAACTAAGTATCTCACGAAAACATTCTTGACGTAATCCATTTTATTAATGTAATTCATTTTATTAATTGTGAATGAAATATGTAGTAGAATGATGGAAGCAGAGAAAAGAAATGAAAAAAAGAAAAAGAGTTTATCACGCGACCTTATTCTTCTTTAACAAAAATAATAACAAAATAAAATGTGGTGATTAATAAATTCCAAATGATTTTATGTATACATCAGATATATTCATACTTTGATTTGTGTTTTATTTAAATGGCAAAAGAGATTTCCACTATATGATGTACTCGGTATCAACACACAAATAATACGAAAATGTCCCTTTTTGAGATTTCGTTACTGCTCTCGAGGGGACAATCACGGTGTAAATTTCGAAATGAACGAAGTACATGTTGTTGTGATCCTTATGTTCATGTCTGAAGGACGCAACACTTTGCACTCTCCCAGGCGACTAGTGTGTTGCCTTCTGACTGACCCTTGCTGCTTCTGATAGAGCCAGCGAGTGTTTGAATATATGTACCATATTCGTATTAATAATAATAATGATAATTGTGACAGGTACGTAATAAAAATTAGATAAAAATGAAAACAAATATTTATATGTACATACACATACACACACAAACACACACACACACATACACAAACACACACACACACACACACACACACACACACACACACACATATATATATATATATATATGTATATACACACGCATTACGCATCACACGCGCGCGCGCGTGCGTATGTGTGTGTTTGTGCAGCTGTATATGTAGATGTCCGATAAGTTTTAACAAAATGCTATTGAGTAGGTAGAACGGACTGAGTCCTCTACACAATTTTACAATTTTTGCAATTTTTTTAAATTGAGCAGAATGTCTAAAATCGTCATACAATAAATTTAAGATATCTAGAATTCTTTCAGAAACATTTTTAAGATATTTTATGAAGAACTCTAAAAGATATCTTAAAATTGTTCTATATGTTGATTTTAGCCATTTATTCGGCAATTTTTAGAAATTAATATCTTATTAAGTATTACGAAAATTGCAAAATAGGTAGACTTTTCGACTTAGTTTAATATACTCACTATCTGCTCACGAGCG